AAAAAGGCTTTTATTAGATGTTAAAAATTCCAATTTAATGTCCTATTTCSCACAAAAGCTTGAAACCAAAATTGGGAAAAAGGACAACAAAAAAAAGTGCATAAATATCCCTGAATTTCAGATGCACAACAATCTCATTTATGTGAAGATAGCATTACTCCATCAAACAGCAGCTTCTCTGGCATACCAAGTTTACCACAGAAATCCATGGGTCCAGAGAAATGGGCTGTGGAAAACTACTGAGTGGAGCCTAGACAGTAGGCAGGCTTGTCCACCTACAACTTTACTACTTTCTGACTTTTCCCTGCTACCACACTCAGTTATTCCTGTTCTAAGTTTACTGGATGCTACAGGAACTGAAATCAGAGCAGGAGTCAATTGATGACATCTAATTGAAGATAGCAGAGCACCCCAAAGTAGGAACTCTGTCACAGAAGTGACAGTGAAATATAAGACTTCTTACAAGTCAAAGGAGGAAAACAGAGCTGGATTTACACTTTCAGTCACACAGCTGCCTTTCTAAATATTTCATTTAATGTATTTTATAAGCATAAAAGTTCAACCTGTGTCTTTGGCAAAGGCCTTCAAACGCAATCAAATTTTCTAAGGATGAGACTTAAAATTTGCTGGGAGAGAGGGTAAATGTTCCCAAACAGAATAATTTAAGCAGAAACACACAAAATCACTATTCATTTGGAAAAATCATGTAGTCTTTTTCTTGTGCCCTTGTCTTCCCTGATTTCACAGCACCCTGCTGCAAACACAATGAAGCCTGGGAAGTGGGAATGAAAAAGGTTCTCTAATGGAACATGGTACCTGGCTAATAGCTTCTATCTTTGCAAGCAATGCCTCTGTGCGCCTCCCCACAGAGCACACTCACCATCTGCCTCTGTTCCAATAAATGAACTCACATTACAAACACAGAGCACAAACATACTCATATCCTGAGCCTACTGCACCCAAGGGCCAGATGTTTTTGCAGTATGTATAACTAGCAAATGTTTGCTCCCAAATGTTTGAAATGGCTCACAATCTTTCCTAATAACAATCACAACCAGTGAAAAATTCATCACAGGGAGGTAAAACTCCTAAAAAAATACTTACCTATTTTTACTAATTATATCTCAGCAATATCTTTCCAGTATAAAGTTCTGCTTCCCACAGAGTCTTGCGTATATTACTAATATCACACACAATCAGATGCCATCTTCCTGTCTCCCTGGAACATCAGCCTAATTTTGGAACCTGCAGGCTTTCATTTCTAAAATTTCACTTTTTAGATGAACAGCTTACTTAATTATGTGTCATCCCTGGTCTGTGACACTCGGGATTTTTTTTCCCTAGAAACTTAAACATAGTCTCACCATTTTTCCTTCACACACTGATGCTCAACACTGATATCCTCTCCAAATATACATATATAAATATATATGTCTTTCAGATAACTCTTCCAATAAAACACTTCCTCATTGGTAATTTGTATTTCCCAGTATATTCAGATGTATAAACTGTATAACAAATAAAGCAAAAAAATTATATCAGGTGAGCGTACAAATGATCTTTCAGATTTCATGTATCAATTTTTTCCTACAAGACCAAGGTTGTATGTTTTACAGTTGACTGCTGATGCTTACAGCTGCTGGAGCTTCAGGTCCCACTTTTACAGCATTTGGTTTCATAGAAGTGATGCATAATCAACCATGGCTCCAGTATTACAATAATTCTTGCCTTTGGAACCCAAGGAACCTTCAGGTACCTGAAAGATGCACCTGAATTAGCTTTTTAGCTATCAATTGAACCATATAAAGCCCACTGTGATACTATCACTTTGAAATTCAAATTTTTTTTTCTCAGTAGTACATATTTCTAAGCAAAAAAAGTTTATCCRTCCATATATAGATGCAATACCTATGTGGATTTCTGTCTAATCTTAGCCTGTTGCCAAAAACATYGTATATAAATCAACCAAATTTGACAGAAATGCTCTTTGACAGAAAGGACACATAATGTCAGATGACTTAAAGACTTCMTACTTCCATAAGTTGGATGAAAATAGACGACAGACCGTACCCATGTCCTCACTGGAGCACTGCTCRTTAATACCATTTCTTAATATATGCTATCCAATTCCAGTAGGAGAAATCAGAGAATCTCTCACTGAAAAGTGGCATTTAGCATTCCCCGACTTCAGGAAGAGCCTTAATTCAAATTCCAAYTTTATTAAACATCAGAGGGTGTAAGCATACACCAAATCATAAAAAAAGGGTTTTCTTAGTCCTATTACTTCAACAATTATTTACTTCTATCTTAAATATTGCTCAGAGCAGGGTGTTGGCATAAAGGAACTTACTACTTATGCTTGCCAAATAGAGCAGCTAGCTCAGCTTAAGGGAAACAAAGAGCAGGTCTTCTRTGGACAATTGAGTCATCCCAGCAGCCTCCAGTGACTGCAGATAACAAAGGGAAGAACAATGAGGACATTTATTACAATCACACAGTAGMTTGTTTATGCAGTGATTCAGTGCAGGTTCGCTCTTTTCAAGTCACTTTAACACTGTTATCCCTGATYACTACATCTCCCTAAGAACAGCCCTACACAGAATGGTTTGGGTTGGAAAGGACCTTAAAGGTCTTCTAATTCCAACCCTGCTGCCATAGGCAGGGACAACTTCCACTAAACTRGGTTGCTCAGAGCCCCATCCAGTGTGGCCTTGAACACCGCCAGGGATGAGGCRTCCGCAGCTTCTCTGGGCAACCTCTTCCAGTGCCTCACCACCTTACAGTAAAGAATTTCTTCCATGTATCTAACCTAAACTTCCCCTCTTTCAATCTGAACCCAYAACTCCTTGTCCTATCACTGCAGTTCTTCCAAGAAAGGATACCTCCAAGTACAGGTATCCTTGGTATGTGCTGCTGGCGAGTTTACTTGAGCTTGGAAAGGCYGAAGAGCTGGGGGGAGAGTAGATCCACTTTACTCAGCACTACAGCAACCACATGCACCCCACCAGTTACTGTGTCTCACATGATGAGGCAAGGATTTCTTAAAGCTGACTCAACTTCCTCAAACTTTACCACAGTTACAAAAAAAATGCCATGATTTAAAGTTCACAGAAGCAGAGTCATAGAAACGAAATCAACCTTTCTGACCATTCATCTCAAAATAACATCTGCTTTATGAGAACTATAGGAGGAGATCTTTCTGGCAGGGGCATTATTGCAGGCTACTTTATTTTCCAGGTCTGACTGGAAATGAGACTGAATGAGATATAATAAAAAAGTTTAAAATACTGCTCTCCATTTAACATGACACTACACAAAAAAGTGTACACAGAAATACATGGAAACACCAAAGCTACAGCCATCCACAAAAATATCTATTGTTTTTCTGGCGACAGCTAGTTCAGTGTAAAAATGAATGCAGGGGCTGTCTGCAGCTAAGTCAGTTGGGCTGACTCAAGTATTCTGATTAATATTTTTGATTTTTGCCCGCATCTCATTTCCTTTTGGGGATGAAGAGTTCAATGCACTTGCCCTTGCCAGTTGTAACAAGCGTACAGCACCACCATGAGGCGCCACGCAAGGCATTCCTTCAATCTCGTTTATGTGCTGTATACTCCAAAAAGACAAAGCCTCCAGTCCTGGAAGGCACTTGGTGTTACAGACTTCAAACTCACTTAAAAATCAACGAGCTTAGACTGCATGTAGTCATTGCAAAACTGCAGTGCTAAAGATGAACGTGCTGATGAAAGACACCAAATAATGATACCTCAGATTAGAATAGTACTGTCATTGTTATATCTCTTTTTAGCATAGKTTTTAATTTACTATAAACGTTACTAGATATTTATTACTAGCATGGCAGAAAGAGCTAATGGGTTGCACAGCAGGGGTCAGCAATGCATAAATCTTTGGGATAATACTCTCCATAAAATAAAGGAGATGACATATAATAACCCTTCTCAAAGTCATTAAGAGAATTGTGTGATTTAAGCACTTTTTCCTCTAAGGCCAAAGATTTGTGACACAATAAATTCAGCCGTGGGGCTCATGGTATCAGACAAAAAAAACCTATAGTGTCCTAACACGAAGCAATGATCTGTTGCAAATTTATTTCTAACCTGAATAAGACCTTTGGCAGCCCCCCTTTTTTTAAAAATTTTGACAGGTTAACTTCGTAACAGGAAGCTTTACACTGGAAAATTATTACTTTTTTCTTTCCATGCATGTACACCCAATGTTAAGAGCTTGGGAAAAGAAAGTCATTATTACGTCTTACGTTTACTTTGTCATAAACAGAGGCAAGAAGTCACCTCTGGTCCACATCAGATGTGTATGACTGGCAACACGTAAGTCCAGTGGAACAAGAGCCTGAATCAATCAATCATATTCTCATATATACAGCCAGAGACGAAATAKCTACTCAGAACAGGGCCACCCTCTAAGTCACAGGATGCTCAAGGCCTTGGCTGGTCTTACTACAAATATTCCCAAGAATGAAGGACCCTGCCCAAGTATTTGACCTCCCGTTAGTATTTCACTGGAACTTCCCTTGTTGCAATTTGTGTATATTATACAAGATGAGGCCATTGCCCAAGTCACCGGATACTTCTGGGCTTCCTCTGCTGCAGAGCAGCTGTTCAAAATGCAGGTTAAAGATCCAGGCCTGATTTTGAAATTACATCATCCAGGAACACAAAAAAGGTCCTGCAGTACAAACTGCTGTAAGGAAAGGATTTAGTTCCCTCAAGCAGTTAAGTCTGTGGCAGCCTACAAGCCACAGCAACAGCACAGTTACTTTTAGTGGTAGGAAGAGCAAGACCAACACAACTTTCCCGAGAGTGAAAGAAAAGAATTAAGACCTCTGCTCAGGAAAGAAGCAGCTGACTACACTTCATATCAAAGAAAGTACTCCTGACTTGCTGATTTTAGTTCCAAATAGGAAAGTGACTTGCAATACTTCAAATATTTCTGCACATCAAATGAAGAATACCTCCAATTAATTAGGGATAAAGACAACCTGATCCACTAATATGCTTCTTCAAGCAAGAAATCAGATAAATTAGGATCTTATTTACAATACAAACATTTGTTTATACAGCTGAATGTTAAACATATTAAAAAGATACCGTTATTAAAATATTAAAAGCAGCTTATGTTTTACTGCTCACTGAGTCTGTTTCATTGCTGAATCTGAGAAATTACACTCAGAAGGCCTACAAGTACTGAAAATAAATGAAAATTSTAACTTTAACAAGCCTCAAAAATCGTAAGTGACAGGAAAGACAGGATATTTATTTTAAAACAGTTTTTAATAAAAATGGAAATAGAAGTCATGATAATATCGAATGAAAACTAGTGCTTACAATTACCCGTATTTATGTACTTTACCTGATCCTCCAACAATGTTGCACAGGTTTTATTTKAGAAGCAGGGAAACAGATGCTCAACAACAGTTGCCTGCATCACTAAACCATCCTAAAATTGAATTAGAAATAGTATTCATATTTTGTATCCTAGGATGAAAACCAACAAGACGTACTGGATGSAGTCATTTTTGTTTCACCAGAAAGATAAGCACACAGCTTATGTGTTAGCTTCCATTTCAAACAAGCAATACTCTTGCTAAACAGCAAGAACTTAAGTCTTACTGAAAGGCTTTTGAAATTTACTTTGAAGAAAAACTCTTGGAACACGCAAGTCTTCTTTCCTATTCACAGTTTCTCGCTGCACATATTCATTGACCACTTGCTCATATCCTTCAGCCTTGAAAAGCTGAGATAAGAACTCTGGAAGAGAATTAAAAAAAAATATGAAATATTATGTTCAAGCTATTTTTAAAATACCAGACAGCATTTATATAAGCATATGTTCTTATGTGTAGCAGCATGAAAATCACACAGGCCTTCAGATTTCAAGCTGTTCTATGTGGGCAGACTGCTGAACAAAAATCAATAAAGATCTCCTTTAGAAGCATCAACCTAAGCAAAATAGCTTGTAAAACTGGGGTTTAAGCTAGTTACTCAGCTGAGTTTCCAAAAATTGCCACATCTCTTATTTTTATTAAGCCTTGTCATTCTCATTGTGACTGACACCAGTGCATTTTCACTTTGTGCAGYTGACCTTCACTAGCTGAATACATCRCTTACCACAARTATTTTAAAGGTAACCCAGMTGTGAAGGTGCACCTCTGCTCACAGAAGAATAATACCCTCTGTTACATGCAATTGCTCAACAGAAAAAGTGACAAAATRGCAAAGGGGATATGGCAGTACCAAGACTTCACTAAGCTGAACTGAATGTATTTTCCACAAACAAAAAAATTTCACTCAAAGCCTATCTCCCTTAAGAAAGGCAAAAGTGACCTATGCAGCAGGAAGATCTGTTCATGCTATTGACTTGTAATATTAATTAAAAACCATAATTTTTCCTTTCCTGCACCTCAATTGCTGCACCTCAATTACTCAGGCAGTAATTTCACAGTAAATTTAAGTTATTCTAAACTTGTGTTACTTGATAGGAAACAAAGATTCCATTTTTCACTGCTCAAGGGGATTAGCTCGATGAAACACTGATCATGTGGGTTCAGGAAGCACCACATGAGATGGTTTATTGAGGAAGATGAGACCACCCACTTYGGTGGCAGTGCAGGCTTATATCAATCCAAGCCCACCATGGTTGTAAACATTGTATGTTCATGTAAAATGGGGGACCCACATCAATGAAATATAAATAAACAGCACTTAATTGTGGACCTATTGAAATGTCATTGTAGGGAAGTTGTACATTTTTCATAATACAAAATTACAATCACACATTCCTCCACAAATTTAATATTATTTCAAACAGGAGAAGAAATTTTATTTTCCCATGGAAGAAGCGCCATGYTCTTATCTGAGGCCAGGCATATTATAAATAAATATCATTCAAATCAACCCATGCAGCAATTACTTGGTGTACCAATGTATTGCTAAAGAAATTAAAAATAGCAAGGATTGCAACCTCTGTGGAAATTATAGGAGTCATGTCTCCAGTAACAAAAGAATTCTCAAGCATTAAGCAATTTATAGGAAAATCTGTGAAATGAATGAGATCATAAYGAATAAAAATGGGAGTAGAGGTGATCCATGAGACAGTCACAGACCAGCCCAAGGAAAAACAATTGCTGACATGAGCAAAATAAAACAAATTCTCTCTTTTCTCCTTCCTTCCTCTTCCCTACCTCAATTCTTCTGCCAAGGGAAACACGCACACTAGCAAGGAACTACTCATTCAGAAAATATTCTAAAACACAATAAAAATGGGATTTAAAATTCCACAGCTAGGTCAGTCTCTCATTTTTTTCCTTCTAGCATCCATTCTCTGTGTAAGAGCTAATTGTTTAAACAGAACTAAAAATCACCCAATAAATAACAGCTCTAGAAATGCTCCAATGCAGCTGTAGCACAGCCTGCATTATCTTAGATTTCATCATTGTCCTATGAAGAATAGGGGGAGCTCAGACAAGATTAATGGTTTTTATATATCAAAAGCAATTAGGTAATATGTTATGGCATGAAATATGAATAACATTTATTTGGCTCCAAATTGGTCTCTCCAGTGRCTGTATTTTGCTTTAGACTAAGAACAAAAAGCCCCACAGAAATAAATTCACAGCTCTTATTGCACAATGCTCTACAAGTGATAGGGGGGAGTAATGAGTTTAGCATGAGAAATTGGGAGTTAGAAGCTATAGCCAAGCTATAATCCCAATTCATTGTGAGGGTCCAAGCAAATTCCTTCATGTCTCTGTGCTTCAAATTCTCCACCAATAAACTGCAATGATTAYCTTCCATCCTAAACCATTATGAGCACTGAATAAAAACTAAATGCTGTAGCACATGGAAATATTTTTTGTATCATCTTTACTAAAAAACAAACCCCAGTGACCACAGCTAGTCAGTGCTATTCCAGCAGGACTKGTGCACAACCTTCTCAGTGCTGCAGTCATAGTTCTGCCTTTAGAAGTCAATAGACCTCATCCTGCACACCAGAAATAGCTTGCACAAAGAATGATGCCGAAAGAATTGCTTAGTTGCTTCACGAAGATGACCAATTTCTCTAACTGAACATTGGCCTTTTCCCCTTAAGTAACAAAACTGAATGAAATTCAGCAAATCCAGAAACTGCTGCATTTGGAACATTATAGAACATACAACAAGCTTGTAAACAAAAAGTGATCCACAAAGTTCTGCCAAGTCTAAATAATTTCTTCTTCCCAAAAAGGATGGTGAACGAAACAAACCACATTTAACAGTTCATCCGCATAWAACAAAACTTCCTTGGGCATGTTGGCAGTACTCTTGAGCAAGTTTAAACAGAAGATTACAGAAAAGAAAGCACTCTACTGTATGTCTTACCTTCAGTAAAAAAATATGATCTTGTCCCATCTTGTCTAACATAAAAGTTTTCCCCAAGTTTGCTGCCAGCTTTAAACCTGAGCATTGCGTGATCATACAGCCCATAGTCTCGGAACAGGACACACTTGCCTGGTTTCAACACCTGTCACACAATACACACACCCTTTAATACACTGAACAGATTTAGTCATATACTGATATATTTAACTGTGTACACATACAGACATACACATACAACTAAGACAAGGTAGACTAACACACTCAACACAGCAATGAGATAGGTATCTACATCTATACACATATAAATATAGATGTAGACATAGACAGAGATACAGATACAATTAATTKCTATGCAGCAAAAAAGTTTTGTAAAAACTGGATTGACTCTTGAAAATGTTTCCCCATGAACAAAAGACTACAAATAGTTTTAGAATACCTGTTCAGGTGMTGATCAGCTAAATAAGCAAAACTCTTCAAATACAGAAGAAGGAAGAAAATGTAGAATTTAACAAAAAGTCCCATCAGGGCATTTTTTCTGTTGGGCAGTATATTATTTAGCACCTGATTTTGCTTAATATTAACAATAAAATTTAGAATTATCTTTTCTTTTTTGCCATTTATTTTTTCACAGGAGAAAGCAAAATGTTGAGAAATAAATAAGAAACCATCTTAAGAAAATGCATCATAGATTTTGTTTTAATTGCTTTTTGGTAAAGAAAGCAAGACATAARGAGTTTAAAATTTATAAATACATGGTCATTGAACATGCTGATTTTAGATATCTCATACATGTAACTTTTCTATGACATCAAATACCAGCTGTATTTGTTAGAGGAGAAAARGAGTGCTTGCCAATTTGTGCAGAAATCTACAAGTGACTTGAATGATCAAGCATCTCCACAGAGAAAACAATAATTARTCCTTTCATAAGTCTTAGCTAAGAATGAATCCTGATTTTGGAAAACAGCTGGACATACACAAAGAACTCCCTAATATTCCCTTTTCAAACTACTGATAATAAATMAAACAATATTAAAAAATACAAGAGTCCAAATACACTTATATGCCTTAGTTGACTGTTTCCCTTTGCAGTCAATATTTGACATYTCAGGAAAATTCAGAACAATCACAATTCAGATTGTTTAAACCACACTTTGGATGGGCCTATCCTAGTCTACCAACTAACAAAGATGGTTTAGGGAGATGAGACTCCCTGGATTAATGTTGACTTTTGAATACTCTAAATCACCACAGGTCAAGTGTGTTTAATAGCAGCAACATCCTAACTGCCAGCCACTGTATCTCTGGAAGTTAATTTTGGCTATCTTTCACATCTCAAGAACACAGACATCTCTGCAACGTATAAACTTTATTCATAGCATATAACCCAAGTCACAGCTTTAAAATCACATAGAGTGTCCTGGGATGGAAKGGACCTGAAAGATCACCTCRTTCCAAAMMCTCTGCCATAGGCAGGGACACCTTCCACTAGGCTTAAAGCCACATCCTGGCCTTGAACACTTCCAGTAGTAGGGCACTCACAACTTCTCTGGGCAACCTGTTCCAATGCCTCACTAAAGAATTTCTTCCTACTATCTAATCTAAACCCACTCTCTTTCAGTTTGAATCCATTCCCCTTTTCCTTGTCACTACATGTTCTTGAAAAAAATCACTCTCCATCTTTCCTGTAGGCCCCCTACATGAGGGCCAAATTTCATAAACCTTTTTGTTATGCTGATGGCATGAATTAGGCCTCAATCCAAACAATCTCAACATATTTTAGTCCTGCATACTTGGTGAAATAACTAAATACATTCATGGAATATAATATGAAAAATCACCATTGCAAGAGAGCTATTTTCTCAGAAAAAAATGTACTTTCATACTAAAAAGAAAGTGCTTTAAAGGCTGCAAAATCAGCTATTTTTACCTTGTAAATGTTCCTCAGGACAAGATGCATTTTGTCAGGATGAATGGCAGAAAGCACAAATATAAGTGTGGCAACATCCACAGAATCTGCTGGTATATTGTCTAGAAGATCATCTTTGGTAAGATCACACTGGAACACTTTACATCTTTCAGTATTATATAAAGCATTTTTCTAGGGAAATCAAAAGAACAAGCTTTCACTGAAAATRAGCAGCATTTGTTGCTATAATAAAGCAAAAATCTCGTGAAATTTATCAGTAGAGAGACAAAAAATATGGTGGCAAAAGAATATTAACTTCCAACAGATAGCTAATGCAATCAGAAATTCTTTGCTGCATACTACGATAGTGAAACTACAACTGACACAATAGTCTGTTCTCATGAGAAAACATACCTTTTCTGTTTCACCCCTGCTTCTGCTCTTTAAAAATTACATAAACACTGTTAAAGGAAATTATGTATGACAGGGTGAGGTACTGCACAGTCAGTAGAGACATAGTAGCGCTCCCAAAAAAACACTGTCTTGAATGTCCAAATCATTCAAGAAATACACGATAATGGTCTAATTTGACACAAAAAGCCAAGTCTTGAGCAATGATTTGACTTCTTACATAGGATCTCCACTGAAATGCAACAGCCTCCATTTTTTTGCAAAACATATTCTACCCTCCTTACAAAAAGGAAGCCAAAACTGTAACTGTTGTTATAGTCATTTATAATTTTAGAAGCTTCTAAAAAACACTCTAAAAGAAGTTCCAAATATCACACCAACCTTCACATACTCAACAGCTCTAGGAGAGAAATCACAGGCATATGCAAAAATATTCAGATCTTCTTCTAAGAGTGGAAACAAGCAGTTCCCAACCCCRCAGCCTGCTTCCAGAATGGTCAGTTTCTGATCTGCAAACTGGGGAGGAAGCAATACAAGATAAAACACACCRTTTTTGTTTTCCCCATCATAAGAGCAGAGGCACCAGCATTTTAAAAGCTATAATCAATTTTAATTAGTGCTGTTCAAAAAACCAAAGGAGACAGCCACTGAATAATCTGACACTACAACTCAGACATCTTGATTTCCACAAAAWTAGAAATAATTTTAGAATATATTAATATTTCTTCAGTCATCTACCCCTTAAGAAATCAACAGACTTGTGCCATTTTTGTCTTGTCTTTCATTCRGTTATAAGGAACAGATGCATCTGGCTATTCCTCTTAACAATGTTTGGCAATTACCCTGCAATTCTGGATGCTTTTCCACAAAGCACTGTACTGAAGTGCACCAGCTTGCACCCAGGGAGACAAGCTGTCTGCTTAGGACACAAAAACCAAATATTCCAAACTTCATTCTTAGCATCCAGGATGCTATGAACTRCATCCCCATCCACTATGGGCCATTTATAAAATGAAACTGAATTGATGGATCTGATTCTGAGGAGTTACCTTTGATATTAAGAGAAACTACACGGCAGACTGCAAACTCAACATGGAACAGATTTTTGCAAAATGGCTTTAAGTATTATAAACTGCCTTGGAAACAACCGATTGGAAACCACCAACCCCATCTTTTCCAGCAAAAGTGTATAGATCTCACCTCACGACACGCCTTTAACTCTTGAAACTCTCTGGTTGTCCAGTGTCTGTCTTTGAAGAAGTTGGTGCTGTTTCTTTTGTAAAACAGATCCCAGTTCTTCTGTGCCTCTTTTTCCAGTTTTAGTTGTTTGAACTCAGACACCAAAACCCGATCTTTTGCCAGTCTCTCAGCCTCCTCCAGGCTAAGGACTCGCGCACTGTGGCCTTTTTTTTGGAAAGCACCATCTTCAGTAGATGTTACTATACTTAAGCAATTGGCTGATGCCTTTTCTTGGAACATCCTAGATTCTTTCATACAAACATGAACACCAAAGACCCACGGGTGATCGTTTTTCTTTAGTGTATGGTTCCATCGCTTAATTTAGGTAAAACAAGCGAGCATCCTTAGAAGCAAAATTAAAAATGAGAAATAATTACAGTATGTACTTACTATAATTTCAGTGATCTGCTCTACCTGATGGACCGACATGTCACCAAACTTCTTTTAATTTCAGAAAAACTTCATCCAAACTAAGAACTGTATACAATATCACACTGATGTCAAAGAAGATATTTCAGAGTGTCCTGGTCTTCCCTCAGCATCCTAGAAAGCTACCCAACAATACAAAGATGGTGCAGCTCTAACTATATTTTCACTAAGAGAGACTTGAGAAGGAAAGCAAGAGCTTCCTATCTCCTTAACTTCAGTTAGAACCCTGCAGAAAAAAAAGGTAACTGACAAACAGATGACATTTAAAAGTCACATTAAAATTGATGAAACAAAGAGTATTCACATTAGCATTTCTCCTTCCTGCTCTCAGCTCTGTGAGAAACATTGGTGAAAACATCAGCAATTGTAACACCATGCCATCTGAAGAAGAAAACCAGCACTGTGGCCAAAATACCCAGAACAGGCCTGTGCCAGTATTCCTTCCGCTGTCTCCTCCTGAGGATTCACATTGRTTTAACCACCACAGGTGGGTTTATTTTCAGAAGTTAACAAAAACAGAGCAACAAAAAGAGCTTTGCATAGGCTGAGAAGGGACCCAAATATTTTCTCTGATGTTAAACTGATTCTGACATCTGTCTTGTCACAAACATGCAGATCCTGGATGATGGCAYATGCAAATTAAATCCTGCATGGCCCAGTAATTCCCAGGGAAGCCAACACATGCCACACGTGTACACCAGTGCCCAGAACAGGGCACTGATGTCATTTTACCAAAAAGGAAATGAGAAAAACACAAAAATACACAACCTAAAGCAAAAAAAAAATGGAGTAGTATTTCACTTATGTATTTTTATCTTATGTTAATATACATTTTATTAAACATATCATGGATCATATGTACATATTATATATGCTATATATGATGCTATCATGATATATGTGTCATAGCACAAACACAATATAGGAAAGTRCGCAAATGAAAATAAGAACTGTCAGAATTTTGTCCAGTGTCACAGACACATCCCCTTTTCCTCCAAAAACTAAAGAAGAGCTTATAAAAAGTCTCCTTTGAAATCTCTTCAAGAGCACATCCTCAAAACAAACAAAAAGCTKAATCAGCAGAATTTCTGCTATAGTTCAACTACACACCTATTTCCCAGACACCCTCCAGTATTTCTTCATAGAACGAGCTAGGGAAAACAAACGAACCCAAGCGAGTCCCTTCACTGACGCATCTGCTGTGGCGTGAAGGCAGCGCGATGATAAATTCAGCCGCAACAGCCCATGCTTAGGCTAAAGAGATTTTTAAAGGTGTTTAATACAGAGCTAAGTCCACAAACAKGTACCACCTCTGTGCGATCCCGCGGTCCCCTCACAGGGACACCGGCCTGTCTCCAGCACTCCTGCCCCAGCGGGGCCGGGCACTGCACACCCCGGCACGGAAGGAAAGCGCCTCCTGCCCTGCCCTGTCCTGCCKTGTCCTGCCCTGCCGAGGGCGGGGAGCGCCGGGCTCCCACCTCCCTGGGGACCCTCCCCGGGACAGCAGCCCCGGCCCGGCCCCGCGCCCCCGCCTCGCCCCGCCGTACCCGCCGCCAGCCCCGGAGAGCCTTCCCGGAAGGGAAAGTCAATAATTTCCGGGAGGACGCGGGGCGGCAGCGCACGGAGCAGAGGGAAGGGACCGGCCGGGCCGGGAGCGGGGCCATGAACGGCTCGGCGAACTCGTTGCTGGACAAGGAGGAGCACCCGCTGCAGCTGGGCGAGAGCTTCGAGCGGCGGCCCAAGGCCTCCTTCCACACCATCCGCTGTGAGCGCCTCCCCCGCGGCCGCCCCTTCCTCCCCGCTCTCCACCCGCTCCCCGCGTCCCGTCCCCCGGCTGCGCTTCTGCTGCTGCCGCGCCCACCCCGCTGCTCTSCTCGCCTCCTTTGCTTCGCCATCGTGGGGCTTCTTCCCCGCTCAGCGCCTTTCGTTCCCGTTTCCCTCCTGCTTCCCTCCCCCGTTCCCTCCTATCCCCTTCAGCGCCCTTCTCTCCACTTTCCCTGCTGCCCCTTCAGCACCCGTCTCCCGCTTTCCCCYTCCCTCAGCGCCCGTCTTTCCTCCTCCCCACGAGTGTTTTCCCCACAGAGGGCTGCAGCGAGGGAAGAAGGGGAAGGTGGATGCTGGCAGGGAGGAGGTTTGAGCGAGGCAGGCCAAGGGGGAGAAGCGGCTTTAGAAAGTTTTTCATGAATGGCTTGGAAGCTTGGAAGGATCCCCTCCGTCAGGGGGTGGCTTTGCCATTTTGTTTTACTCTGTGGCAGTTAACTGCAGGGCAGGCCCGGCCGGGAGAGGCAGCCGGAGCTCCCGGAGTTTGCTTTTTAACTGGGTGTTTTCCTGATGGAGCAATGAGTAGCCCAGAAGACTTGTCACTGGCTGTCGCGACTCCTGCCATCTGTAATAAATCACTATCCCAGGAGAGCGAGGAGAAAGGACTCGGACACATACAGCTATGCCTAATAAATGCAAGATAAATCCTGAGGCAGGGTCTCTAGCAGTTGTGAATAATTTGAGAGAATATTTTGTTCTTTGAGACACTATCYATTATTCCAACCGCTCTATTTAGCCTTAGGTGCAGTTAATTCCATATCAGAAGATTGTTTTGAAGAGGAACTCACTGTATCCCTGTACTTGAGTTCTGTGGGTGAGAAATCTGAGCAAGACAAGTCCAGTTTTTTTTACTAAAATGACTGACAAACCATCAACAGTTAATGTAAAGAATATTAAACTTATAATCCAGTAATTTTCTGTGAAGGTCGGCAATTTACACAAACAGTAGGATATTTTGGTTTATGATGCACAAATCTAGGCCCAGTCTCATGGCCCATATTCATACACTACAAGTAGTAGTTTCATCACAAGGTGATATTCATCACTCAGGTGCCTGATCCTATGTGAATTAAAACTCAAGCCATATCCAGGTAGAAATATACTGGGTTTCAAGAATGGAAAGTGCTTCAGTAACCAGTTTCCGAAGGGATTGGAAAGCCAAAGGTCTTCAGACTATAACAGGAAGAATGCAGATTTATTTCAAAAGATCTTTCTCTATGCTCTATTTTCCATCTGTGACTTTCAAAATAGATTTCTTCATTGCCTAGTTATAAATTTTTTCCCTAACTTATTCTGGAATGATTTATCTGGGATCCAAATCTTATATTATTCCCATAATCCTGTTCACACAAACTACAATGAGAGGATTTTCTAGGCTAAATTTGTTTCGACCTTCTTAAAATGCTTCATTCCTTTACATAATGTTTTTTAAATACTTTACTGAGAAACTGTATTATCCTTGGAAAACACATCTTGAAAATATTTGATTTTTGGAAAAAGGACTGTGAGTGTATTTGGAGGGAACGATGTGCCCTCAATCTACATGAGGATTAGCCAAGCMCATGCCCCTAGTAAGCTAACAGAATGAAAACAATTTGTTGCCTGTTTGTTTAAAGTAACTCTATATTGTCATACCTRAGAAAGAAGTCTGATAGTTAGAGAGTGTGCTGTTGAAACTCTTGATCCCATTTTGGCAAAGACACTGGTTTTTGTACTGCTGGTTTGTTTTAGTTAGCAAGCTTGCACATAAAGTAGGTGGGAAACAATAGCTAGAAACAGATTGCTCAGATGAAAATGAAGGCTATGATTTGATCTGGCAGTTAAGGCATGAGGATTAAGTCAAGTGTGTCTGATTCTGCTTGTTGTGCTGTCAAAGTAAAACTCAATTAAATATTAACATCCTCTTAATGAGAATTTATTACAAGCCAGGTTTGGGGTTTTTTCCCACAAATGTGTTTTTCATAGTGGAATTATATTTTAAATTTGTTCTGAGGTATTAATTTCATAACTAATGCAGTAATTAAAAGCCTTGATCATGAATATAATTGTACCTCTTCACATCCAGGGATGCTAAAATTGAATGCAGGCTTCTTTTAAAAACAAACAAACAAAGTAAACTAGCCTATATCTGTATGATTTTATTTTACTTTGTCTAAATTCTCTCTCAAGATACTAGAGGTTCTGATAGATTTTTTTCTGGGTTTTTTAAGGCTCASCAGGACAGCAGAATAATGAGGGGAAAATACTTTTAACTTAAAATGTTCTCAGTTCAAATGAATATATTAAACAGAGATGCCTTGATTGGAAGACAAAGSACTTTATACAACAGAGCAAAAATACCTAAAATGAATGTTAGTTTAAAGCCATTACAGTGCCTGCCCTTATGGATGCTTTCTACTTATAGTGACTTTGGACCAGCATGGAGATGGCTGAAGTAAGCTGAGCACCTCTTTCTTTCTTCATAAGTGAGACCTGAGATCTCCTCCACCCACGTGGAGCTTTTAGCACTATTGTGGAGGCGAGATGGCTGTTAAGGAGCCTGAAATATCAGTAAGACTGAATGAGTTGGTGTCATTAAATTAGTGTTTGTCACAGAGAGAGTCCTCAGGTTTGGAATTGGCAAGAGATGCACAGAAGCCCAGGGTTCTGGAAGCCAATGCTCTCTTGAGTTGGTTGGTACAATTTTACACTCACATGCAAAACCAGGYACCACTCAAAGCCTGGGGTTTGGAGAAGTCTGGTTTTGGTGTTCAAACAAAAGCTCTAGAACCTTATTTCCACTTTGAAAAGGAAGGTTAGAATATGGTACCATCACATGACTGGGTTGCTACATATAGACACAGTGTACTGGTATGTTATTCCACCCCTGCTGTAAACACTARTGTGTATTTTAGCATTCCCTGTAATCTCAGTAAATGTGTGGTGGCTCTTTGCAGGGCAGGACGATGCTTCTGGAGACTCTAACAAATGGAATCACAATTGTTTTCCTCTTTAGATGATTTTAAGCCAGCATCGATTGATACATCTTGTGAGGGGGACCTCCAAGTGGGTAAAGGAGATGATGTGACCATCACTTTGCCACATATTCCAGTAAGTATATTATATATTTGCTCTTATTTACTCTCCAACARATTTGCAGTGTTGTTACAGTCTAATGTAAGTGCTGTTTTCACTTTTGTCTTTATTAATACTGTGGGTTCAATATTTAAGCAGACATACTTGTAGTGTGCTTCCTTAGGAAAGGGCTGTACAGCTGGATCCTTGTAAAGAGCCGTATTTGTAAGGTAGCAGACTTGTTCTTGACTTTTGATTCTTTCCTTCCTACTCTTCCTTCAGTGACAAGGAGACTTTCACTGTCAGCTGAAGTTGTACACCTGGTTCCCATCCATTCTAAGTGCTATGGCTGAAGAAAGGCAGTGTAACTTGGGCTTTAGTCAAGGYTGGATGTTCAGAACCCACAGGTGGACCTGTAAGCATATTCCTGCCCTTACTCAAACATGTACACGTAGGGCATAGAGYGGTCACTGCCTTTAGCTTTATCAGGGGAAGTGAGGGGCAGTCCTGGTGAGTGGCCATGAAATGGTTTCCCATCCACTTCCTTCCCTAATGATGCCATAAAGATCTACTGCATGAGGGTGATGGTCAGACAGCAATAAAACAAGTGATCAATCTGTTTATAGGTGCAGCTGTTTTGTAGTTGAAGATTCAGTGGTTTCCTTACCAACACAAAAGAAAGTGCTTGTGTGCTGGAACTGGATTTGTTTATGAGCTGAAGTTAATGCTATGTGTTAAGGCAGTAAACCAGAAATCACAGACATCAATGGGTCTGGTGGCTGCAGGGGGGCAGCAGTCAGTTTCAAGCCGTTTGTCAGATCCTTTTGGTATAGTTCATTCCAGCACACCTGTGTTTTTAATTGGTAGGTGATGGTACTGTGATAATTCTCACTGAATGAAGCCTGCTTCTGTTTTTTATATGGCTTTGGTCGCCATCCGTGCTTCAGGATGCCACATACTGAGTTTTGTCTATAGAAATTACGAGTGTGGTAGTGCTATTGGAGAGCAGGTAATAACACCATTAACAACAGCATTCATTTTGGATTAGTTGGAAACAGTGTTGCTCATTGATCTTCTGTGTTGAGCAGCATCACTTGTAATGTTCCTTTCCAAGTCTTCGTAGTGAGGAGCTTAATTTCTTTCTCTTCCCCTCAGTATGAACAGCTTTGAGCTTATAGTATGCTCCAAAGGCTGAGGCAGCCAAGCTGCTCTGTGTATGTTGTTCCAAGGCAGTGCTGCCTGTGTTCTGGACAGAGAGCTGGAAAACACTCAGCAYACTGGAAAAGAGTGAGAGGTTTTGAGATCATTTCATCCTGACAAGCTTTACTGAATTTCTTGGACCTTRTTTTGCTTCCCAGTTGTCCAACAACTGGATACGATTCAAATTCTGAGTTCAGGTTTTCTTTTTGAAATTGCCTGATCCCTGAGAATATCTCTGATAATTTGTTTGGTGGAGATATTATGGTGTCCCTTGCAGCTTGGATAAATTGAAGTACAATTTCTACATACRGATTTAATGACTTTAATACTTGATAAACTGTCTGGATTGGGGAAGTGAAAATTTCTGTTTGTTAGAGTACTACAGAAGAAGATTATAGAAGATGGTAAAATATTATGAGTAGGAAGAGTCCCTACAAGGATCATCAAAGTCCGACTCCTGGCCCTACACAGAACAATCCCAACAATCACACCATGTGCCTGAGAGCATTGTCCAAGTTCTTCTTG